GTCGATAAGAAGTTGACCACATCGTCATGGTTGTGCACACGGGCAGTAGCAATGCAGTCCCTCCCTTCGTCATCTTGAAGGTCAGTGGCAGCCCCATTCTTCACTAAAAGCTTGACAGCTTCGAGATGACCATTCTTGCAAGCGCCAAGCAGTGCAGTTGTTCCGTTTGGTCCTCGTTGATCAATGTTCGCTCCGGCATGTAGAAGCACCAAAACCACACCAACATGTCCCTCCATCGCAGCATTCAGTAGAGCACTTTTGCCCTCATTGTTGGTAAAATCTACTGATAATCCCTTTTCGATCAAAGTTTTCACCACTCCATCGAGCCCTGAGTGTGCTGCCAACAGTAGGGCATTGTCACCGTCTTTATCAACCGCATCAATAGACGCTCCATGCTCAAGAAGAAACGTCACAGTATCTAAGAAACCATATTCCGACGCTACGAGCAACGCAGAAGACCCGTGTAGAGATTGAGCGTTAATATTGGCCCCTTCCTTCACAAGCAGGGCGACTACACCCACATGGCCTTTGCCAGCAGCACGAATCAATGGTGTGTTCCTTTTATTTTGATCTGTAACGCCGTTGTCAATACTGACCCTCGCTTTCAGAAAAGTGTCTACCACATTCGCATGACCATGCCATGCAGCGGCCACAAGGGGCGAGTTGTCCTTCTTATCCGCCATGTCAACACTTGCACCCTTCTCGAGAAGCATCTCAACAACGGAGAGATGACCACGCTCAGAAGCGATACAAAGGGCGGTGGTCCCATTGGGACGTTGCGCATCAACGGTGGCCCCAGCTTTGAGAAGAATGCCCACCACATTCTCGTGGTCATTAAAGGCCGCAACCATAAGTGGCGTCCAGCCTGCCGTATCCAGCATATCCACACTCGCGCCCTTGTGGAGAAGCATCTCAACCACTGCGAGATGCCCCAAATTAGCAGCAATACTTAAAGCTGAATGCCCGTCTCCATTTTGGAAATTGATGTTAGCTCCGCCTTTCAAAAGAATGTCCACCACATTTGCATGACCATTGGAGGCAGCAAGCAAAAGGGGTGTCGAACCTGCAGTATTCAGCATATCCACACTTGCGCCCTTGTCGAGAAGAATCTCAACGACTGGGAGATGCCCCCGATATGCAGCAATGCTTAAAGCTGTAAACCCATCTCCATTTTTCAAATTGATGTTAGCTCCAGCTTCGAGGAGAATGGCCACCACATCCGGATTGCAGTCTTCGGAAGCTGTCATCAGTGGCGTGAATCCGCCATACCCGCCTGGTAAGTTGAGATCGTTGTAGGTATCACGCAAGAGCGTTTTAATTACCTTGAGGTCACGACGTTCGCACGCAATTCGTAAAGCTGTGTCTCCATTTCGGCTCTTCGTGGCAATACTGTTGCATGATGCGACTACAATCGGAGCTTCCGGTGGTGATGGCTGCGATACATTTTCATTCTCCAAAGTTTGCATATAAATGAGGTGCACAAGTTCCAAGTAGCCACTGAAGTACGCCACAGTCAGCGGTGACCAATTCTGGAAGTCTCCACATATACTGGTATCCGCTCCATTATCAACAAGAATTCGAACAACGGCCAACCGTTTATACCAAGCGGCTGTGATCAATGCTGTTCCTCCACTCGGTAAACGCGCATTCATGTTGGCGCCTCGATTCACTAAAAATTGGACAATATCGGAGTATCCCAGTTGGGCAGCAGTGATGAGAGGCGTGTACCCTTCCTTGTCGGCTAGTTCAATCAACGCTCCACGATTCACGAGTTCCACGACAGCATCGAATTGACCGTGCTCACACGCAATAATCAGAGCTGTCGACCCGTTTGGTCGCTTGAAATCAACATCGGCTCCGCGTCGTACCAATTCCTTCACCACTCCACGATGTCCTCGCTCAGCGGCTCTCATAAGGGAAGTCCAGCCCTCACCATTCGTCAAGTCAGGAGAAGCACCACTCGCTAGCAAAGTGGTAGCCACAGCTGCATGGCCTTGCAATGCCGCGCTGATGAGCG